AGACAGAATCCCAAATCCTAGAAGCCTACAGGACGCCGAATGTGCAAAATCATAAGAGATCCACACCTAGACACATTATAATGAAGATGCCCAACATACAGAATAAGGAGAGAATTTTAAAAGCTACAAGAGAAAGGAAGCAGATTACATTTAGGGGCAAGCCAATCAGGATAACAGCTGATCTTTCAACACAGACTCTGAAAGCTAGAAGATCCTGGAATAACATATTTCAAACACTGAAAGATAATGGGTTCCAACCAAGAATTGTGTATCCAGCGAAATTAAGCTTCAGGATGGAGAATGAAATTAAAACCTTCCACGATAAACAAAAGTTTAAAGAATTCGCAGCTAGAAAACCATCTCTTCAAAACATCCTAGCCAAAGTATTACAGGAAGAGGAAATGGAAAATAACAATGAAAACCAACAGTGGGAGGTAGGACAGTAAAGGGGGGGGGGGAACAATCAAAGAGGAAAACAAACAATGTTTAGTAACAGAAATAAACAAATATGGCTGGAAGAACAACCCATATCTCAATAATAACCCTAAATGTTAATGGCTTAAACTCACCAATTAAGAGACACAGGCTAGTAGAATGGATCACAAAACAAGACCCAACAATATGCTGCCTACAGGAGACGCATTTGATAGGAAAAGACATACATAGGCTGAAGGTGAAAGGTTGGGAAAAATCATATCACTCATATGGACTTCGGAAACAAGCAGGCGTGTCCATACTCATATCAAATAAAATAGATTTCAAGCCAAAGTTAATCAAAAGAGATAAAGAGGGACACTACATACTGCTTAAGGGAACCATACACCAACAAGACATAACAATCATAAATATTTATGCCCCAAACAATGGTGCAGCTATGTTCGTCAAACAAACTCTTCTCAAGTTCAAGAGTCTAATAGACCACCACACCATAATCATGGGAGACTTCAACACACCTCTCTCGCCACTGGACAGATCTTCCAAACAAAAGTTGAATAAGGAAACTATAGAACTCAATAACACTATTAATAACCTAGACCTAATTGACATATATAGAGTATACCACCCAACATCAAGCAGTTACACTTTTTTCTCAGCAGCACATGGATCCTTCTCAAAAATAGATCATATATTATGTCACAGGGCAACTCTTAGACAATATAAAGGAGTAGAGATATTACCATGCATCTTATCTGATCATAATGGAATGAAACTGAAAATCAACGATAAAAGAAGGAAGGAAAAAGCATACATCAATTGGAGAATGAACAATAGGTTACTGAATGATCAATGGGTTATAGAAGACATCAAGGAGGAAATTAAAAATTCTTAGAGATAAATGAAAACACAGACACAACATATCGGAATCTATGGGACACATTGAAAGCAGTTCTAAGAGGAAAATTCATTGCTTGGAGTTCATTCCTTAAAAAAAGAAAAAACCAACAAATAAATGATCTCATACTTCATCTCAAAATTCTAGAAAAAGAAGAGCAAAACAACAGCAAAAGAAGTAGAAGGCAAGAAATAATTAAAATCAGAGCTGAAATTAATGAAATCGAAACAAAAGAAACAATTGAAAAAATTGACAAAACTAAAAGTTGGTTCTTTGAAAAAATAAACAAAATCGACAGACCCTTAGCGATGCTAGTGAAGAGAAGAAGAGAGAGAACTCAAATTACTAGCATACGGGATGAAAAAGGCAATATCACAACAGACACTTCAGAAATACAGAAGATAATCAAAAACTATTTTGAATCCTTATACTCCAATAAATTAGAAGATAGTGAAGGCATAGATAAATTTCTTAAGTCATATGATCTGCCCAGATTGAGTCAGGAGGATATAGAAAACCTAAACAGACCAATATCAATTGAGGAGATAGAAGAAACCATCAAAAGACTACCAACTAAGAAAAGCCCAGGTCCCGATGGGTATACAGCAGAATTTTACAAAACCTTTAAAGAAGAACTAATACCAATACTTTTCAAGCTACTTCAGGAAATAGAAAAGGAGGGAGAACTTCCAAATTCATTCTATGAGGCCAACATCACCCTGATACCTAAACCAGACAAAGACACTTCAAAGAAAGAAAACTACAGACCAATATCTCTAATGAACCTAGATGCAAAAATCCTCAATAAAATTCTGGCGAATCGGATACAAAAACATATAAAAAAAATTGTACACCATGATCAAGTAGGATTCATCCCTGGGATGCAAGGCTGGTTCAATATACGGAAATCAATAAATGTTATTCACCACATCAATAGACTTAAAAATAAGAACCATATGATCATCTCGATAGATGCGGAAAAAGCATTTGACAAAGTACAGCATCCCTTTATGTTCAAAACTCTAGAAAAACTAGGGATAACAGGAACATACCTCAATATTGTAAAAGCAATCTATGCTAAGCCTCAGGCTAGCATTATTCTGAATGGAGAAAAACTGAAGGCATTCCCTCTAAAATCTGGAACAAGACAGGGATGCCCTCTCTCTCCACTTCTCTTCAACATAGTTCTCGAAACACTGGCCAGAGCAATTAGACAGACGAAAGAAATTAAAGGCATAAAAATAGGAAAAGAAGAAATTAAATTATCACTATTTGCAGATGATATGATTCTATATCTAGCAGACCCAAAAGGCTCTACAAAGAAACTATTAGAGCTAATAAATGAATTCAGCAAAGTGGCAGGATTTAAAATCAACACGCATAAATCAAAGGCATTCCTGTATATCAGCGACAAATCCTCTGAAATGGAAATGAGGACAACCACTCCATTCAAAATATCTTCAAAAAAAAATAAAATACTTGGGAATCAACCTAACAAAAGAGGTGAAAGACTTATACAATGAAAACTACAGAACCCTAAAGAGAGAAATAGAAGAAGATCTTAGAAGATGGAAAAATATACCCTGTTCATGGATAGGCAGAACTAACATCATCAAAATGGCGATATTACCAAAAGTTCTCTATAGGTTTAATGCAATGCCAATCAAAATCCCAATGGCATTTCTTGTAGAAATAGAGAAAGCAATCATGAAATTCATATGGAAAAATAAAAGACCCAGAATAGCAAAAACAATGCTAAGCAAGAAGTGTGAATCAGGCGGTATAGCGATACCAGACTTCAAACTATACTACAGAGCAATAGTAACAAAAACAGCATGGTACTGGTACCAAAACAGGCGTGTGGACCAATGGTACAGAATAGAGGACACAGAAACCAATCCACAAAACTACAACTATCTTATATTTGATAAAGGGGCTAAAAGCATGCAATGGAGGAAGGATAGCATCTTCAACAAATGGTGCTGGGAAAACTGGAAATCCATATGCAACAAAATGAAACTGAATCCCTTTCTCTCGCCATGCACAAAAGTGAATTCAAAATGGATCAAGGAACTTGATATCAAATCAGAGACGCGCCGTCTGATAGAAGAAAAAGTTGGCTACGATCTACAGTCGGTGGGGTCGGGCTCCAAATTCCTCAATAGGACACCCATAGCACAAAAGTTAATAACTAGAATCAACAAATGGGACTTACTCAAACTAAGAAGTTTTTTCTCAGCAAAAGAAACAATAAGAGAGGTAAATAGGGAGCCTACATCCTGGGAACAAATCTTTACTCCTCACACTTCAGATAGAGCCCTAATATCCAGAGTATACAAAGAACTCAAAATTAGACAATAAGAGAACAAACAACCCAATCAACAAATGGGCCAAGGACCTGAACAGACACTTCACAGAGGAGGACATACAGTCAATCAACAAGTACATGAAAAAATGCTCAACATCTCTAGCTGTCAGAGAAATGCAAATCAAAACCACCCTAAGATACCATCTCACTCCAGTAAGATTGGCAGCCATTAGGAAGTCAAACAACAACAAGTGCTGGCGAGGATGTGGGGAAAAGGGTACACTTGTACATTGCTGGTGGGACTGCAGATTGGTGCAGCCAATTTGGAAAGCAGTATGGAGATTTCTTGGAAAGCTGGGAATGGAGCCACCATTTGACCCAGCTATTCCCCTTCTTGGTCTATTCCCTAAAGACCTAAAAAGAGCATGCTACAGGGACACTGCTACATCGATGTTCATAGCAGCACAGTTCACAATAGCAAGACTGTGGAACCAACCTAGATGCCCTTCAATAGACGAATGGATAAAAAAAATGTGGCATTTATACACAATGGAGTATTACTCTGCATTAAAAAATGACAAAATCATAGAATTTACAGGGAAATGGATGGCATTAGAGCAGATTATGCTAAGTGAAGCTAGCCAATCCCTAAAAAACAAATGCCAAATGTCTTCTTTGATATAAGGAAAGTAACTAAGAACAGAGTAGGGACGAAGAACAGGAGAAGAAGATTAACATTTAACAGGGATGAGAGGTGGGAGGGAAAGGGAGAGAGAAGGTAAATTGCACGGTAATGGAAGGAGACCCTCAGGGTTATACAGTGGAGGGGGTAGAGAGAGAGGAGGGGAGGGGAGGGGAGAGGTGGGGAGGGGGGAGGGTGGATGATGGGAAAGGCAGCGGAGCACAACAGACACTAGTATGGCAATTTGTAAATCAATGGATGTGTAACTGATGTGAATCTGCAATCTGTGTATGGGGTGAAGGTGGGAGTTCATAACCCACTAGAATCAAAGTGTGGAATATGATATGTCAAGAAATTTGTAATGTTTTGAACAACCCACAATAAAAAATTAAAAAAAAAAAAAAAAAAAAAAACTATATTTCAGCAAGGATTTGCATGTGATATCCAGACCTCCGTTTTCTCTCCAGAGTTTGTGACGGCATGGTCTTGGGGAGGAAGTGGGGAAAATATTCATGTTTTAGGAAGGCCTGAAAGAACCCAAGAGGAGGAATTAAATGAATAGATGGCAACCACTATTGACCAAAGCCGAAACCCAAATGCCTCCATTAGGAGTTTCAAGAGTAAACATGCAATTCTGGAAAAAGAGAAATTGTAATGCACTAGTTGAAGGTACTCACCCATTCCTATCACAGGGTACCACTCCCCAGAGATCCAAGCCATCCCTTGTTAAGGTGCCTGTCTAAACAGAAACGAATACTCGGATTACTCTGAGATCCCGCTGGCCCCCAGTGAAGGCAGGTCAGGTTTTCTTTAATGGAGAAATACATGCCTCAAGCACATTATTGCAGAGTGCCATGATAAAGTGAGTATCTGGAGTCTTGGGCAAAAGCTTCGGTGGACTCAAATAAGTTGTGACAAACTGGCACTTGATCCCTGTGAACTTTTGTATCCTCCATAGTAAAAGGAAGAAAACTGTATGTCCGTTACATCCCTCAGAGGGCTATTTCGAAGATCTAATGGTAGACTGAATGGAGGGCAAGTCCTTGGGAAGACTGTAAGAACTCTAAGATGAGTCTCAGCTTTTATAGTAGAAGTTAAAAGTATGTCACCAGAAATAAGTGATGAAGTAGAATTTTTTACCTACAGGGCAATGTTTGTAAAATTACTCTGAAGAAATGGTTTGCTGTTTGACACCTAGTAGGTAAAAAAGTTTGTGTTGCTATTTTTCTCAGTACAGTATAATGTCTAAGAATTCAGACTAAGTCCAAATTCCATCTACAGGACAGGGAATACTACTTAATAGCTCTAAATATCAGAGCTCTTATCGGTAACATGATCAGCAGCACAAAGCCTTATAAAGATTAAATGAGATTATATGAAGTACTTAATTTAATACATAGCACTGTAGGTAGAGCTAATAAGGATGACAATGACTTACAATTATTGCCCTTTTTATTCAAATCCAGGTCACCATTATCTCTCCTACTCCTGTGTCTTTTTCCAAGTCCACTGATATGACCTCTTAAAAGAATGTTTCACCTCACAATGTTAGTTTGATCCACCAAATGATATTGAATGGTGGCAGAAGCCATGTCAACCTTTCATTTTGATATATCTTGGTGATTCCACTAACTGTAAAATACAGCTCCAATCCCATTAATTCTTCAGTGTCCTGTTTAGTGGTTGCAGAGTTTGAGGTTGGGAAGAGGAAAAAATTTCTCAAGATGGATGATGATGATGGTTTCAAAACAGTATGCTTGATGCCAGTGGATTATACACTCATAATGGTTAATGTGATAACCATTTATATTCTGTTTCTTATAGCACAATAAAAGAAATGAATTAAAAGGAAAGACGTCAATGGCAGTAAGGAAGGCCTTCAATGGCTCCATGCTGCAAAAGACCATGTAAAAATGCCTTAGGTACGTGGTCCACAGTCTCTTCCAGTAACTATGTCCTGTCATACCCTCTTGCAGTCCTACTGCCATGCCTTGGCCCATATTCATGGGTTTATGATACCCTTCATTTCCATCTTGTCTTCAATCCATCTCCCCCTCCCCAGCTTATGTGTGTATAAACTGTGCAAATAAACTAAGCCTTCAAGAGGAGGTGGGATAAGAGGCTGATTGGAAATAACTGGCAAATAACCAAGAAAAATTTTAAGCAATAAACTACAGGGAAGAGCACAAAATTAGGGTTTGCCATAGGGCTTTATGGTAATCAAGCCTTATAGTAAAACATATTTAAATAAGCTCTTTCTTTTTTATTCATTCATTAATTGAATAAATATTTATTGAACATTGACTATATTGCCGGGCAATGTTCTAAGCATTAGAGATAAAGCAGTAGTCACAGCAAACGGCTTAAATTTTGGATTTTTATATGAAGATTTTGACCCCAAGGGAAATAATCCTATTTTAGTTCATTTTTTTTTCATAAAATAATGAAGCTGTAAGGACCCAAAAGACTCATCTGTTCAGTACCGACTCCCCTCTTCCTAAACGCCAGATTCTGAAAGCTCCAAGAGACGTATGTGACCTTTTCCAGGTCGCATACCCATCCAGAGGTAAAATGAAGTCAGGTACCCATAGCCTGTGTTTCCTGCCTCAGAAAAGAATAGAAGCCCCTCTCCTTGATGACCATGAAGATAAAAACAGTGATAAGGGAGAGGAGGGGGCACGTACCTTGTCAAAGCAGACAAGGTTCAACTGTCCACACACATTGATCCTCTGCGGGCTAATGCAGAAAATACCTCTCTTCTTCAGCCTCCTCTGGGCATAGATAATGCCCGTGGTCAGGGCAGCAGGCAAGGCAGGAGGGACTGCGATGGTGACCACGTCAAGGGCTTTCTTGACCACCTCCTCAGGAGACTCCTGGAAGATAGATAGCCATTCTTTAGCTACTATGGACAATTCAGCAATGAACAACTTGGTGCAAATGACTTTTGCCCTTGTTTATTATTTTTACTTCTTTAGGTGGAATTCTGAGAAATGGTATCAGTGGGTCAAAGGACATGACCATGTTTATGGTTCTCAATATCTTTTTCCAAAGTGCAATGAAAAAGCTCATAATGATTCATGCTGCTAACAGCAATGCGCCAGTTTACTATGACCTCACCAACACTGGGAAGCTGATTTTATTGAAAATCCCTCATTTAATAGCTACAAACTACTACTTTATTGAAATGAATATGTTGAAAATGAAAAAAAAATGGTGTAAAGAAAAGAAGGAAAAGCGTGCAAGAGTAGAAGCATGTTGGTGTTTCAATAAGTAAATTGTTTTATCACACAATCCCACAGGACCCAACAATTATCATGGAACTTAGTGATCAATTGTTTCCACTGGGGAACTGGGGGCCTGTAAGCATGTTGCAGAGTGTGGCTTTGTTTCCCAGGCTTGTAAACTACAACCTTGAATAAGGTCAACATGTAGAACATAAAACACACAGAAAAGAGTGAGTGTGTATCTCTAACAAAAGAGCAAAGAGCTTACCCCACTGAGCACATAGACACACAGAGTATAGATCATGCCAATAGTGGCCGTCCCTACAAGGCACAGTAGAAATCTGATGGCATCCCTGTAGAGCTTAAAATTCATTGGCTTGGGGTAAAGAATGGATCTCACGAGGTCCCCCTTTGCAGTGTTGAATCCTGAAATGGCAAACACACATCTCACTTTTTTGGGGAGGACACATCCAACTGCTGATGCTCTTCCAAACCTCAACATGGCCTTTATTTTTCCTCTAGAGACATTTAGATAGTGCTTAAATCCAATGGTAGTGGAATGGTAATTGGGGAAACACATAATTGCTAGAATGGAAATATGTTACCTGTCTCAGAGCCCATTCTCTCTCTGGCCTTCCTTCCCTCGATTTCCAATGTCAATGCATTCCAAACCCAAGAAGCCACATACTGGGGGGGGGAGGGGGCGGGGGCAGAGCACAGTTTTTCCAAATACAATTTTATTTTAAAGAATGCCTCATGAGTGTGTGTGTGTATAAATGTACACTCACACACACACATGCATATATACACACCCTTCACTTGAATTAAAATTAAATGGTCCAATAAATACTGATGAACTCCCTTTTCTAATAATTTTCAGTGTTAAGCTTTCAGTTTTTAACCTTACATAAACTTGAGACTTTGGTTAGAAGACCTGAATTTCAAGACCAGCTCTGTCAGTTTCTGGCTGTGTTATTTTTTCAAAGCTCACTTGAATTGTGTAGACTCAGAATGTTCATGCACAAAGTGTGGTGGTGCGGGGGCGGGGGGGGGGGGAGCAGCTACTCTGCTGCTTTGAGGTGTGAAAATAGTTTATAAACTGCAAAGCTCATAGTGATTACTGTCATCAGTATTATTGTTATTACTAAAATGCAAATGCCATAGTTAAATTAGCAAATTGGCATTTAAAATACATAGATTTACATATACTGGGTGTGTTATCTAAAAACTGATCCTCACCTCGCAAATTTAAGGCATTAGATAAACTGAATAGAAATATTTCATTAAAAGTAACAACACAAGCCAGGCTCAATGGCGTGCACTAGTAACACCAGCAATTTGAGAGGCTGAGGCAAGAGAATCTCAAGTTCAAGGCTGCCTCAGCCAATTAGTAAGACCTTGTCTCAAAATCAAAAAGGTCGGGGATGTATGACTCAATGGTAACAGCACCCCTGGGTTCAATCCCCAGTCCTGGGGGAAAAATCATGGAGTAGGGATGCTAACCAGTCTGCAGCACCACTGCTCTCACAGTCCCTGAAGTCGAGCACGCTGCTTTGGCCTGGATGACCTCTGTTCCACAGAAGAGGATGTGCCGTTTGTAATCTGCTTCACTTTGCAATTTCCAGGGCACCAAGCTGTCTGTCTTGAGCAATGGAGTTTTGGTGACCGGGATACTTTCTCCTACAGAAAACAAGCTTCTCATAGTGAGGTGGGACATCTTCACCCACGTAAATCACACCTTCAGTCACTTATCACCCCCCACACACTTGCTGTGAGCCAACCTGTGGCAGACACAACCCCAGGTATTGGAGACATGAGAAAAACGTAGTACTTATTAAGAGATCTCTAGTTTAGAGTGGGAGACAGACATGTAAATAAATAAGCATTGTGTCCTAACATAAATATTATTGGTATTGCCAATCAAACATGGATGGTATAAGAGTCTAGAAATACCTGATTAGGGAAAAGCACGCTGTGCAATCTAGAGTGCAGAGTACCGGGATAAAAAGGCCATGAAGGCCACGTAGGAGCTAAACAGGATCCCAAAGATAACATAGTTAAGTGCCCAAACATTTTTCTGGAGGCACTGGTGGGTGAAGGAGGATGGAGAGATGGTGAACTTCGGAGAGTAGTACCCTAAGACAGCATACTCTTGTTTTCTGTAGGAGCCCACAGTATGGGGGAGGAGTTGAAGTCTGGTGCAGTTGGGGGCTGGACATCCAGCTAGGAAATAATCACAGGAGTGCCGGGGGCAGCGGATGAGTTCTGAACCATGGCAGTTGGCAGTGGGAATAGAAAGGTAGAACTGGGTTCAAGAAGTCAGGAAGTAAGAAGCTACAAACATTGAGGGAATTTTTACATAGGCAGGCCACAGGGACAGAGGACTTTAAAACAGCTTCCTAAATCCTGACTTTGGAGATGAGCAGAGGGCAGCATTATTCATCAAAGTAGGGATTGCAGAAGAAGAGGAAGAATTGCCTTTGGTCCACCATGAGTTGGAACTACCTGTAGAAAATAACCCTGTTGAGATGCCGTGTGTGCAGTTAGATATTTATTTGGATCTGAAGTTCTGATGGGAGGTCTTGTCTAGAGGTATTTAGTCAGAGCTCATAGGCATAAAAATGAAAGCACAAAAAGAAACAAGATTACTTAAGAGTCAAGCGTAGAGTGAGAAGAGGAAGGACCAGGACTCACTTCTGAGCAACACTAACACTTGAGACAGAGGAAGAGAAGCAGCTGAGCAGGTGCGGTTGGTGGTAGAAGAATCCGGAGAGAGAGCAGTGCCTTCGAAAGTTGGGGAGAAGAGAGTTTTTAGAAGCAGAGATGGTCAAAAGAGTCAACTTCATTGGAGAGGTCAGTAAGAGGGGAAACTTAAAAGAATCCTTTGGATTTGTCAATGAGATATTGTCAAGGAGTACCAATGTGGTGGGAGGAGCCGACTACAGTGGGGTGAGATGAGGAATGAAGATGTGACAGCAACTGTGACTATTCCGAGGAATGAGCTCCGAACGTCTTCTGCTGGTCTTAGCAGAGTGAGCAGAATCAAGTCAGAGTTACGTTCTCATATGCAAGGATGGCTTTCATAGGAAAATAGTACCTGGCACTGCAAAAGTCCCTGCACTTAGGGATTTTTTAATGAATTATAGATTCTTGAGGGGAAAAAAGCAAACAAACCCTGACCTGCCATGATCTGGCAGATCCTTTATTTGTGTAAGTTCACAAAGGAGAGGGGGATGTGTTCTTGTTGCCATTTCATGCCTTTCTGTCCTCCGTGGGAGCAATGGATTTGATATGACCTTTAATAGGAACTACAATATGTCATGAGCTTTCCCTGACCCCTATTTCATCTCTGAGAAAGACTTTATGGTTCTTTTTTATCTTACAGAAATGTTAGCACAACATGTCATTATTATGTTACACGGTGAGAAATCAAAGCAGTGCCCACTGGAGCAAGTTACTTCTCTCTGGACCTCAGTTGTTTTGTCTGTGAGGTGAAAGGACCTCTAAGTTTCCTCCCTGTTTAGCATGCTATTTAAAGATTAAATGCAGTCAGTCCAAAATACTCTGTATTTTGGAAGTAGTACATTTGCTGAATGCCCCTTCATGAGCTTTTCTTAACATTTCAGTCAAGGCCAGATTTGACCCTGTGGGTTTTAAGATGTCAGTGATGGTTTTCAGATCCTCCATGTTCGTCTCAAGACATATGTCACATAAAAGTACTAAACTTAAAAGTCAGACAATTCTGAAAGATCTAATGATCCCGACGATCTTCTAAGGTAAAATGAGAGGATTGTAAAAATCCTTATTCCAGAAGGAAATATATAACACGCATAAAGTAATGATTGCACTTAGCACATAGAGAGTTCCTTTAATTTGAACTCCCAGATCCATCCTCAACAGGACTCAGCATGGCATGTGGAACTAGGAAGCAGCACAGCAGCCTGCGCTTAGCAGAGAGTCATTGCTATTCAGCTACAGGAAGAGGAGGGACCATGGTAGCGCAGAGCCTGGGACAGCCCACAGAGGCTAGGGCTGCGCAGATGCAACTGTACCTGTCAGCATGCCTTCATCTACCACACAGCTGCCATCAATCAGAATGGCATCACATGGCATTTGCACCTTGTTCCCTGTCAAAATTAATAAATCTCCAGGTACCAGGAAGCGTGATTCCAGCTCTTGGACTCCAGCTGAAAGTGTGAGGAGATAGAGTCGAGTCAGATTATTCTCCCACAAAAACACAACCCGCATCTCTTAAGTTGGAGATCAATGGAAAAGCAGTCAAGGCATTTTAAAATGGAGGCTATTCTTCAACCTGGATTTAAAATCTGAAAACAAAAGCCAAAATTTATAAACTACATAAAATCAAAACCTTCCTGTGGCAAAAATACATAAATAAGCCAAGATAAAGAAATGATGGATTCAGATTAATATGTTGTTGGGTGCAGTGGCACATGCCTATAACACCAGCGGCTCAGAGGCTGAGGCAAGAGGATCATGAGTTCGAAGCCAGCCTCAGCAATTTAGCAAGGCCTGAAGCAACTTAGCGAGACTATGTCTCTAAAAAGAGATGTGTACCAGAGGCTTGGGAGGCTGAGGCAAGAGGATTGCAAGTTCAAAGCCAGCCTCAGCAAAAGGGGGTTCACTAAGCAACTCAGTGAAACCTTATCTCTAAATAAAATATAAAATAGGGCTGGGGATGTGGCTCAGTGGCCGGGTGCCCCTGAGTTCAATCTCTAGTATCCCTGCCAAAATAGATGTGTAGGAATTAAGTGTGTAACAAATTGCTAGATATTAATAGATCTCTCACACACACATAAAACACAACACAAATGGTGTATTAAATGTCTAAAAAGGTGCTCAATTTTAGTCATAATGAGAGAAGTGAATATTTCTTCTTCTTTCCTGATTGCCTGACTGAGTATCTTTTTTACTTCTTTCTTTCCTAATTCAATCCCAAAGTCATTATGGAGGTAAGAAAAATAAGCATCCATGCAGTGGTTTGGATGGGGTGGGGCAGCAGCCACTATGGGGTGTTGGAGCCTTGACTCTGACAGAGCAGAGCCTAGCAGGGTCCTCCTGTGGGATGTTGGAGTCATCAGGATGGAAACATGTCCCCATAGGAGTCAGGGGAGGGGCAATGTGAACATCATCAATGACGGGAGATTTGTCACAATCAGGCAGGATTGATAAAATGAGTAGACCTGCTGAGGTTAATGAGCACGCGCTTCCTCACTTGAGGAAGGAAATTACAAATATAGAAAGAGAGAAAACTGCACTGAACCCTGTGGCTTAGAACTGGAGATGTCATAACTTTCCCATGTTCCTGTATCAATACACGACCAGTGTAACTCCACATCATGTTCAACCACAAGAATGGGAATTATGCTCCATGTATGTATGTCAAAATACATTCTATTGTCATGTATAACTAAAAAGAACAACAACAACAACAACAAAAGAATTGTATACATCGGTGGAATACAAAAGTAATATAAGGGTAAACGAGCAAGGATATATAAATATATGCAAACACCTATCTATCCATCTACCTATCTTATACAGTGTGTTTGCTGATCTACTCATTTATACATATATTCTCTAGTTCTTTCCTCTGAGAGCGTCTAAGTACAGTGAAACCCCAATATTAAGAGCACACCTAATGTGCAAGTTTTGTCTTCTAAAATTCCCTGTGAAAAGAATGAAGGTTCCTTAGAGAGAGGTGTGATTACAAGGGTGGGCCAAAAAAGTATAATATAATCTCGAACATCTTTCTGTTCCATTAAGTAGGGAATGGTCAAAGAATGACCGAGATGCATTATTAAAAAGGCAATTTAAAGAGCCCTTTTGCCTAAATCTGTAACAATTTTAACATCCAAGCGAATAATGAAAATAAAGAACTATAGCCGGCAAACAAAATAGGGATTTGTAAGTCCATAATGACACGAGTAAATGGATAAATAAATGAGAAAAAGATAGTTTTTCCTTGCAGCAAAATGGCAATTAAATAATTAGGAAGGGAAGATAAAATTAGAAAATTGCTATTTGGCAAGTATCAAAGTAATTAATTTAGTCAAGAAACATCAATGGATACTAAAACTAGTGGGTGAAAATTTGATGAAGATGGTCTATTTATGAAGTCTCAAAATATCTCTCAACAAAATAACCATTAATTACAAAGGGGAAAGGGGCATATTTACAAAGAAGAAACCTGGCAGACACCATTTAATTAAGTAATCCAAGTTAACATCATCAGCAATAGAACAAATTGAAATTACGTACCACCTTAGAGGAAGCAGTGAAAACACAATTTAGTGTCTGTGATTTGCCAGACAAAAGTGTACAACCTGAATTTAACTAAGAAGAAACATCAGACAAGTCCATTCTACAAAATTATCAGAATTCAAAGCATCAAGGTCATAAAAGCCAAGATTGAAATATCTTAGAAAGACATGAAAAAAAAAAGGGCATTCAGCGACCTTGGATCCCTGTCCAAGAGCTGACAAAACATGAATAGGATTTGACGGTTAGTTGGAAGTAATGGGTCAATATTAGCTTCTTGTTTGTACTGTTGTTTACATAGAAGAATGTCCTTGTCTTTAAGAACAATACACTAACCAATGTTAGCATCCTAGTCATCACATATCAGCAATTTATTCTTAAACTGTCTGGAAAAAAAAAGTTATTTGAACTGTTCTTGAAACTTTGCTGTAAGTTTTAAATTATTTCTTTAAAAAGTAGAGAAAATATACAAAAGATAACACTGCTCATCTACTCGAGTAGAAAAATATAGAAACTTTCCAGGATGTTCTGTTGGCAAGGCAATGAGGAAACAGGCACTCACACATTTCTGGTGTAAATGCAATCTGGCAATATAGGTCTAGCCAAATTACACATGCATTTGTTCTTTAATGTATCAATTTTTTTTTTACTTCTTAAAATCTATACCAAAGATATAGTAAAAAAAATATAAAACAATATATGCAGAAGTATTTTTATTTCAGCAACATTTATAATAGTAAAAGGCTACAAGTTCCTCAACACAGCACCAACTGAATTATCATAGTTCCTCCACACAACAGAGTACGATACTAAAATAACAAATGAAGAATACCTACATACATTGCTATTAAAAGACCTGGGAACAGTTAAGCATGTAAAGTACCAGCAAGAAAAATGGTTCAGTATGTTTTGTCTTCCTTTGTTTACCTAAAATATTGGCAATATAAATTTATATATCTTGTTTTGTATGTATTATATCAACTAGTATTTTCATATGCAATTTGGCTATTTTTAGATATAAGAATAAGTAGAAAACAAACAGAAATATGGTATTTATCATATCAATTATTACAGAGAATAATAATTTATCAAATTATTTATCAATTTATCAATTATTATAGAGAATTAAGACCCAAGGCAGAGAGAATAGGGGAAGAAGCTAGACTCCCTTGAATATCATCTTTCTTATGGATTTGACTTTCAAACCCTGAGGATATTTTTGCATATTATTTATACATGATAATACAAAAATAAATTTGAAAAGTTAACACTAAAGTTAAATGAGCAAAATGATCCTTTCGGGGCTGTGGTTTTGGCTCAGTGGTAGAATGCTTGCATAGCATGTGTGAGATACCGGGTTTGATCCTCAGCACCACATAAAAATAAATAAATAAAATAAAGATATTGCGTCCATCTACAACTAAAAAATATTTTTTAAATGATTCTATCAAGTTGTTAGCCTAAATGCACAAACCAAGAACTATTTTGAGTGATTTAAACCATATTTTTATATAATTTGTATATTTCTAATGAAATATCACAAAAGCAGTGAGAAAGAATCTATAAGTATCTTAAGTTGTTTTAGGAACCATATTGATGTTGAGTGTTTTGGTTTGTTTTTCTAAGATTATTGTATATAATAGGATAAAGCAAATGACCAATTTGTTCCCGTCACTGAGAATAAACACTTTTAATATAGAAGAAAGGGAAACATGAGTGCAATCAATAAAAATTTTTTAAAAAATTCTATAGTTCTAAACTAGAATTGGAAATGTCAGCATGAACTCATATTTTATTTAACTTGCATTTTATTTTTAAAAAATCACTTACTAAAAATGTCTTCTGAAAAGGTCCACCAACAGTGACTCACCCCATAAAAATGAACACTCCTAACACTGATTGAATCTCTAAGCACCATATCTACAGACTTCCAGGAAAAGTGAACCTGTCAAGGTTTGGTCACGAATTGTCCAAATGAGTTTAACAGAAGTCTCAATGACTATTGAGGTCATGTCAAAAGAACTCAGGAGCCAATCTGAAGAGGTTCTCAACGGCTAAAAATGGAATAATTTGAGCGAACAGGAACAAGAACTGTAATGGATGGAAATGTACTAACCAGGTCTAACATTATAGTACTGAAAAATTAAAAGCCTTTGGGAGATGTTAGATGATCAGCCCATTATTTTGAAAGCTTAAACTGAATCTCAGGGTGTTGAAATACTTAAGGGGAGTGGTTTTTCTTACAGAACAGAAAAATTCCACCTAATATATTGCAGCTCCTAATGAAATAATAAACCTAAGACATGAGCATTTATGTCTGCTCACACTACAAAAATATGACAATTAGATGTTATGTGCTTTCAGTATACAATGCCAATCATAGACTATTCTTGCCAATAATCAAAGCCTCTAGGTCTAACAAGTAATATATAATCACTTATTTTCTTCAACAAAAAATTTGCAAGGCAAAAATAAGATATGGAGGAGGGAACCTGTGGATTGAAATACACTTAAAACATAATCAATTGCAGGATATGGAAATCCTGATTTGGAAAATGTATATATAATATTTTTATATTAAAACATATATATTTTTACATATTTACAATTATCTTATATGTACACAAAATAATATATAATATAGTTAGAAATTCTATCATTAATGTATAGATACACACTGATTCAGTTGAAGAAATCTGAACTATATAACTGACTATATAACTGACAGATTTGAACATTGAAGGGGTTTTTAAATAATAAGGGAATTAAAAAGAGGTCTTTATATACAAAAGCTACATGCTGTTTCAAATGAAATGATATTTGAAATAGTTACAGAATAATCTAGGGTAAAAGAATTAGTAATACAGCTTTAAAAAAAGATTCAACAAGTTGGTAATTATTTAATCTAGGTGATAGGTACGGGGGCTTCATGGTTATATTCTCTTACTGTTGTATATGCTCAAAGTATTTTATCATTATAAGTTAGAACAAAAAAATGATCAGAATATTTTTTAAATGTGAAAATTCATTTCCAAGCAGGATGCAATAAAAATAATAAGATTTATCTTCCCATTGGAAACAACCAAAAACCATACAAAATATATGAAACAACGGTTTGGGAGCAGTGAACATCAAACAACAAAGTTGGAAAACGAATGAAGGTGGTCTGCATTTGCCTAGTCTACTGTTATTAAAGAGTTTACAGTTCCCTTTGCAGGGAAGGGGAGCTCACAGTTCAGAGGACTCCCTGAGGCAGAAGCACAGAGGAGACTCTATGGAGATGAAGAAATTTGCAGGGTCTTCTACATCGGAGAGAGCACTACCCTAGGAGAGCTGCAAAAACCTGCAGAGGCTCCTTCTTCAGTATGTAAATATGAAGATAATAACCCCTTCTGATCAACAGGTGCATATGAGGGAATGGCTAGACAATGAACAATTAAATATTTACATTAACATTCACAATAACATAAAAATATGAGCTACTTAAGAATAAATCTGAGAAATAAAGTGTATACTGAAAACTGCAAAACACTGCTGAGTGTAACCAAAGACCTAAATAAAATGAGAAATATATCACATTTAGAAGGCAAAAGATCCAATTTTGTTAATCAATAGCTTTAGACAAATTGATCTGTGGAATAGACACAATTCTAATCAAAATCTCATTTATTTTAAGGAAATTAACATGTTGACTATAGAAGTTATATGAAAAGGATATGGGTCCAAAACATCAAAATAACTCTTAAAAAAAACCAACCAAACTAGACGTGAAATATCACCCTATTTCAAAATTTATTATAAAGGACATATGTGGCACTGGTATACAGACAAGTAAACAGATACAAAAGCTAGGATATATATCCAGAAATAGACCCTCCCATACATGGACAACTGATTAGTGACAAGTGTGCAAAGGTAATTTACTAGAGAAAGATACTCTTTTCAATACATGGCATGAAGTATGGAGCTACCGCTTGCAAAAAAACAAAAACAAAAACAAAAACTTTAATCCAAAACAAAAACAAATTTTATAATTAATGGAAAACCTAAACCTATAAAACTCTAGAAGATAATATGGAAAATATTGGTGACCCTGAATTAGGCAAAGATGTCTTAGATAAGATATCAAGAGTAGGATCCACAAAAGAAAAAAATTTGATGAAGTAGACAATTAAAAATTAAAACATCTGCCGTATGAGAGATACTGTGAGGAGAATAAAAAGATGTCATAGATTTAGAGAAAATATTTGTGAATCATATGTCTGATATATAATAAAATATTTGAACAGATGCTTGACCAAAAAAGATACAAGTGTCAAATAAACAATTGAAAAGATGTCCCAGGTCATTAGTCAGTAAGGAAATTCAAACTAAACAACAGTGAGATACTTCCACACATGAAAGTGGCTAAGATTTCAAAAACTGACCATATCAAGTTTTGACAACAATGTGGAGTAACTGAAACTCCCATTCAGAACTGGTGAGAACATCAAATGGCACAACCATTTTGGAAAACAATTTAGCAACTTCTTAAATGTTAAATATCTATTTACCACATATCTAGACATTACATGGGTAGGTATTTTCCCACAAAAAAATAAAAATGGGTGCCCATACAAAGATCTATACTCAAATGTTCATAGTAGCATCATTTGTAATTGCCCCAACTACCAACAACCTAAATGTCCACTAGCAGATATACGGATGGATAAATTGCCATATCTTTACACTGGGATACACTCAAGAATAAAATGAACTATTGATACACTTAATAAATAGATGAATCTCAAAACAATTATGAACATTAATCCCCCCAAAGTAGTCCAAAATGTATTATAAAAGGTAAAACTGCATGTCATACAACACCATATGTTGTATATTAACTTCCTAAGTGGAAGTTAATCTATAATTACAGAAAGCAGAAAAGTGCCTGATTATGGGAAGGGGTTATTATCCTCATGTTGGTCATGGTTTCACAGTGTATACATATGTCAACATTTGTCAAATGTCCACTATAAAGATGTTCAGTTTTTGAGTTTGTTGATTCTATTTACATCAGCAAGGATTTTTTTCCTAAGGCGAAAAGACCTCAAGTTCCTCCTCCCTATAAGCAAATATACAAGAAAGATGCATACGAATATGGGAGTAATAGGACCAACCAGAAACACAAATTCAAGTATTTTTCTGTTTCTACATGGATAGCACATAGATCTAAAATAATGAAACTTACCATTTTTCCCACACACAGAGACTGTAATGCTATTATGTGATTCAACTAGATGGTGGAGTTTTACAGATTGCTGCAAAGGAAGGGAAAACAGAAAAAGGATTATTTGTTTGAGTACAGGACCCAGGTATTACACAGAAAGGTGCTAACCTCTGCAAAAAGGGAGTGCTGTCTTATTGCCAGCTGAATATAAAGGACTATAAAAGACTGAGCAGCTAAGGAGTCATCTGAAAAGAATCTTCAGCAATAAGAAGTATGTGTTCTTTAGCAGAAAGGAATTTCCCAACATGCTTTTCTTCAACCAGAAGAGTTTTTCAAAACTATAAATATATATACAGTTCCTTAAGTGGGTAAATACAAACGTGTATTGAGCAGCCTTTAAATGCCAGGTCTGTTGCTAAACATTATTTCTGCTTTGGGGCTTTTGGAACTCCATATCAGAGTTCCTCATCTATAACTTCATAAAGAGCGGAGTGGTTCCTGCTATTTCCTTGTAGTATTTGTTGTTCTAGTGTATGAAATGTATGGGACATTGAGAGTGAATCAACAAAAAGAGAAAAAAGAAAAATATTATATAATTATATTGAATTAAGGATTGTTAACTATATTGTTAATTATATTGAATTAACAATTGTTAATTGTTGTGTGAAAGACCTCCACCTGATTCTGAGGGTTTAAAGTTCCCAATCACTTACTAGGTTCCTTTTCTAATCATGATTTTGTACCTAAATCTCCAAGTTTCAAATTATTTACAAATCTGATAAATACAGCTTAAGAATAGTTAACAGGAGGCTGGGGGTTTAGCTCAGGGATTGAGCACTTGCCTTGCATGTGTGAGGCATTGGTTTTGATACTTGGCACCAAATAAATAAAAAAAATAGAATAAAGATACAGTGTCCATCTACAACTAAAACAATATTTTAAAAAAGGATGGTTAACAGAATAGGACAAAGTTAAAGAATGTTCTGCTACTAGCTTATTCTCTTGTTCATTTGTGCATTCACTTAACAAACATGTATTGCGCAGCCTTTAAATGCCAGATCTGTTGCTAAGAAATGAGACAGAATGGAACGTAACAGAGATATGGTTCTTAGCATCAGGGAATTTATAACCTATTGAGAGAAATACATTTTAATCAAGTCATCACATACAAAAGTATAATAAGGAAAAATAAGGTGCTTTTGGAGAATACATGGCAAAGGGAATCAAGGAGTATCTTGACTGCAAAAAAGAAGTCATGCTGAAGCTAAGACATGAGTAGGAGTTGTTTAGTCAGGGGGATGAGGGCAAATCATGAGGGTGAAAAGAAAGGACAAATCCAGGTGACATGTCCAAGTGTTCTGTGGGTAGAAAAAATAACATGCTTCAGGGAACAGACTCGTGGGGCTAGAAGGCAGGAAGCCAGGAAGAGGCTGGGTGAATTGAGGCAGAAGTGAATTAAGAGCAGATACAAACCATCAGGACAAGGCAAACACACAAGTGCATCAGTCACAAGTATAGGAGGAGCTGTGGTCCTCAGAGAGCCACTTAGGACTGCCTCGGGGTTTTCAAGAACTCACAGGGGCCGAAAAGTTACAACTATTTTCATAATAATACTGTGATATCAATTGCCTTTTTAAATTTCATCCTTTCATAAATGTATAGTGGAGTTTTCCAGAGGCTGAATGATGTATAATATCACAGCAGCTTAAACATAAAAGCAGTTATAAAAATCTAGATGTCTTCTATTGAGCCAAGCATTTAAGAGATTTTGAAAAATGTGAAAAAACAACATTCTTATTACTAAATTTTTTCTACTTCAGAAAATAAGCTTATTTTCTATAAAAATAAAACCTTTATGTTAATGTGAGATAATATTGCTATTTTAAATGAATTAATAAATATTTTTGAGTTTTAATTTCTAATATGATAAATATTTTTAGATACAAGCTACAAAAATAAAAACTCCTTGAGGTCCTCGGTGATTCTTAAGAATATAAAACAGTCAGTGACTTTCTTGATAAGACCCTAAAGCTCAGGAAATAATGACAAGAGTTAATAAATGGGGACAATATCAAATTAAAAAGTTTCTGCACAGCAGAAGGAACAACTAGGAATGTGAACAGAGAACCTACAGAATGGGAGAAAAATCTTTGCTAGATACTCTTCTGAGAGAGGATTAATATCTAGAAATACAAAGAACTCAAAAAACTTAACACCAAAAAACCCCTAATAACTCAATTAATAAATAGGCAAATGAATGAAACAGACACTTCTCAAAAAAATAAATACAAATGGCCAACATTAAAAAAAAAATGTTCAACATCATTAGCAATTAGAGAAATGCAAATCAAAACTACACTAAGATTTCATCTCACACCGGTCAGATTGGCAGCCATCAAGAATGAAAACAACAATAAACGCTGGAGAGGATATGGAGAAAAAGAAGCACTTTTTAACACTGCTGATGGGATTGTAAATTAGTACAACCACTGTGAAAATCAATATGGAGTTTCCTCAAAAGTCTAGGTGTGGAACGACCACATGACTCAGCTATATCACTCCTTGGTATTTATCTTAAAGAATTAAAATTATCATACTATAGTGATATATGCATACCTGTGTTTATAGCAGCATAATTCACAATAGTAAAACTATGGAACCAACATAGGTATCTGTTGATGAATGACTAGATAAAGAAAATGTGGTGTATATACACAATGGAGTTTTATTTAGCCACAAAGAAAAATGAAAGTATGTCATTTGTAGGAAAAAGAATAGAACTTAAGACCATTGTGTTTAGTGAAATAAGTCAGACTCAGAAGGTCAAGAGTGTTATTTTTCTCTCATTTGTGGAAACCAGAGAGGGAAAAGGAAATGAAAGGTGGGACAGGAGATGTCTCATAAAGATCCAGGGAGATCAGCAGAAGAAAGTGACCTTGGGTAAGTGCAAGAGAGGGAGGGGAGAAGAGCTGGGGAGTGATATTGGCCAAATTATATTGTTATATTGTGTGCATGTGTGAATATGTGACTACAAATCCTGTCATTACGTACTACTATAATGCACCAATAAAAAAATGTGGAAAGAGAAATAAAATAAAACAAAATGGAAAGTGGGGGGATAAAAAGAATACAAAGGATTCTGGAGGCTAAGAATTTTGAGAATTTCTGAGGCAGAGCTTTAAGGGCCAGAATAAGGTATAGATGTTTATCCTGAGAAGAGCAATGGAAATACTTTGAAGCTTTTTGGTGTTGAGAGCATGGGACTGGTCATGTTCTCTTTGGCATCTTAAACCTTAGCTCAGCCTACTACATGGAGAGTGGTTTAGGGGAAAGCAAGGATGGATGTTTGGATAACAGATGGGGAGAGATTGCCAGACGTGTGACAGTGGTAAGTTGAACCACAATAGGGGAAGGATGAGAAAAGTGAATGATACCAAGAGACATTTAGAAGGGAAAAATCAGTAGAACCTGCCATATGATTGAGAGGGGGAAAAAAGAAACATATTTATGGCTTGTGCAACTGAATGGTCAGTGAGGTACCTCACCAAATATGCTGGATTTAAAGTATATCCAAAAGGATATCAAGGTAAGGATGACAAATAGGTTGTGGGGTATATGATTCTGGAACTCAAAAGTATTTGGAATTGAGTTATATAAAGATTTGAAAGTCCTTAGCAGGTTCCTTTAGAAGTCATGGTATAGGCAGCTATAAAAACAATGAAGAATCTCTCACGTGCTCACATGACAACAGGCTGAAGACATGGTACTAATAATGTTTTAAAACTAGCAAGGTACAAAGCAAGATAATTATTCTACCACTTGCATAAAAAAGAGCAAGGATCACTTGAGCCAAAAGTTCAAGACCTTCCTCAGCCTCCCAGTAGGTAGCTAAGACTACAGGTATACAACATCTGGATCTTGGTTCTTTTTTTTTTTCGTCAGTGTACCTTTATTTTATTTATTTGTGGTGCTGAGAATCAAACCCAGTGCCTCACACATGCTAGGCAAGCGCTCCACTATTGTGCCACATCCCCAGGCCTTGGTTCTTTTTTATGACTGATCCTCCTCTATCTGACCTTTAAAAAAAATGTGTGTCTCAAAATAAATGTTATGTGAAAATGTAGATAGTATAAAGTTTCCACCATCTTCTTCCTCTCCACTTAATCAACTATTCTCATTAGTTTCTGATATAACTTTCGATAAAACTTTTAGGCAAAAATGTAAATCCAAACATATGGGTTTTTTTTTATTCCTTTCAAGATTCCCTCTGGGGATTATAATATCAGAAAGCAAAACAACAATCCAACAGAAGTTACCAAAGGACACAAATATTTCACAGTAGAAGATATACAAATAGTTTAAAGCATAAGGAAATTCTCAACTCATGGTGAAAAACATGCTGTTAACGTTATGAAATTCTATTTAATTTATATTGACAAAGGGAAAGAAACATTCCTCTACTATTGAAAGGAGTATAAATTGGTATTGCTTTTTAAGAGGCATTTTGACAACATATAGTAAAATAATGCACCCAGCTTGTCACAAGACTAATTCCAATTGCAGAAATTTTATATCTCCATATCAATATAGATATATAAGCATATATATACTATATACATGTTTATATGTAATACAAATTACATGTTTGTAATTTACATATGTAATATGGATATGTAGAGATGTACATATACACATATAGATCTAGAGGTGAGAAAAGGTATGTGTGCAAGTATTCTCACTGCAGCTCTGTTTAGTAGCAAAAGATTAGAAACACCCTAAGTACCTATCCTGAGTAGCTATTAGACCATTTTAAAGACCGTGGTTGATCTAGAGAAAATATATTTGTGCGGATACAAAAAGATAATCAAGATATATTAGGTTGAAAAATGCAAGTGCAGAACAGTGTACATAGCGTACTTCCATTCTGAAAAACAAATTAATGGCGTGCATTTAATGTTGAGAAAAATATACAGAACACCTGATAGATCACTCTTGAGAGGAGAGTTGGACTCCGGGAAGTTCCTCTAATGGGAAGGGTCCTTAATTTTCATTCACACTATTTTGTTCTGTTTGAAAGTTTATCATGGCCACATGTATCATGGCCTCCTTCTATTAAGAAAAACAACTAGTTAATTTAAAAGATTTCTTTAAAAATTACTACTACTATGGTGTGCTTCCCAGATACCCCTTCCAGGTCTGAGGCAATTATTCCCCCAGCTGCTGGGAATATTGGCTTCGGGCTGCTCTTGGTAAAGCCTTTCATAGGTTGCTCTTGGCATTAGGAAGCTGTCTCACCAAGGTCACAACCTCTCTGTAGGGGGAGCTGCATTGCAATGTGGTATATGACGGACGACCTGGCACTCCGACTTTGATTCAGGATGATTCTGAAGAAAGATTCTGGTCCCCAGAACTGGAATTAGCTAAGGCCTTTGTTGCAATCACATTGCTGTTCAATTTTTCTTCCATTTCTCTCCCTTCTTCCCTCTCTCTCTCCTGTTTTCCTCACTCATTCTTTGATTAACGTTGTTGAAAGCACTCAACAATAAAATTCCCACATACAAAAACACACTTAAAAAAGTTAAAACCATCTATGGGATTTAGGTTAATAGTGTCAACCTTAAATAGTGTTGTTTAAGTGGAGTTGTGAGAGAAAACCAGTTCAGCATGAGTGAAAAGAAGGAGGAGGGTGAATAATGGCAAGAGCAGGTACAGAGACTCAAGAAATTTTACAGTAAAAGAAGATGAGACATAGCAGCCCCTGAAGGAATAAAGAGTTGCTTTGTTTGAACTTTATTTTTCAGTTCGGAGAAGGTTAGGGGTGCTAAACAGTGATGGGAAGACTCTTGTGGAGACAGAAAAAAATGAGTCATCATGGGCTGCATAAGCACCAGGAAGGTGGAAGAGGACAGTATCTCAGGTGTGGGCTGAGGGAACTTCTTCCATTGCACTGAGAGGACAGAGAGAGCAGGAGCTGGAGAGATGGCTCATCTGATAGTTGGAGAAGGGGGATTTGAGCAAATTCCTATCTTAGGCTTTCATCGTCTTGTGATGTGAGATTGATATGAGATTATCCGCTGAATGAGAGGAAAAGTGGAATATGGGAAAATGGACATTCCAGAAACCTGAAGAGAGACTGGATTTGAAACCTCAATTTCAGAGAATGGGAGAGTACCTTGATCAGACATGTATAGAAAGCTTTCCTAGATAAGCTTGGCTCTCATGGGTTTGTAGTGTGACTAACCAATCTGTTCTATGTGATTTTCTTCCAACAGCCCCTAGATCCCCTGTTTCAGGCATGAAGAAGCTAAGGATTGAGTTGGAGCTTTGACAAATGAGTACTAACCAAACATAAAGGGCATATTCAAATTAAGTTCATATTAAACAGACTTCTCCACCTTCCATGGGGAAAAATATAACCTGAAAGACTAGGGATTGGGACGTGAGGGAAGAGAAAGAACTAACTTGTTGAGCATTGGCCATTATATAATTCCAAATCTGAACTGAGCAATGACTATTTCATGATTCTCCTTTCCAAGAAAATTTTAATGAAGCACTAATGCTCCCTTTCTGAGACTACGGGCTTACTGGGAAAACTCACCTCTCTGAGGTCATACACTGTCAGAGCTATGGAAATGATGGACATGATTATGATGGCAACAGCATATTCTTTATAGTCTTCACTAAACCACAGACAGACACTGAAGAGTTGAAATATGTAAAATGGATTGAGAACCTGTTGGCAGACATAAAACACGAAGACAAGGGAGATATTTAGGCCTCACACATAGCTATTCACTGACCCGTTTTCATAATCATCTCTATGACATAAATCACCCCACATAATGTCATTTTACTTATTATATTTAGTCAGTAGTCATATCCCAGACACTGCACTAAGCAACTTTGTCTGAATTTGCTCCTTTTATTTCCATAATTACCTTATTAACCAGAAGTCATGACTTATTACCATTGCAAAGATAAAGACACTGAGCCTGAAGTATTGAGAAACTTGCCCAAGGTCACACAGCTGTGGCTGTCAAAACTGAAACCCACACAATCTAACCCGAGAGTACTTGCTTTTACTCACTGCCACACTTTACAATTTACAAACTAGTTCCTCTTGTATCATCAAACTGACCATCACATTAGTTGTGTAAAGAGGAGGTATCACCATCTCCCATTTACATTTACTGGCCTTCAGAAAGGGGAAGAATTCATTCAGGTTGGCACAATTAAAACACCTTCTAGTCTACTGTTCTTCTCTAGGACATCACAGTGGCCATATTTGAAGCCATTGAAGAGTTTACATTCATGGATGAGTTGAAGACCACGTTTTCCCATATGTACAGAGCTGAGCTGAAAGTAGTAAGCTACAACTGAGCATCTAAAACACTCAGAGAGAATAGATATAATCCCCAATAGCTGTGATCCTGCTTTGGTTAAAAGCATTTGGTACCCTTCCTCAAATTTCCTCTGGTTGTTTTGCATCTGTCTAAAACAAGAATGGTAATCCTTGCTTCAGGTTGGGGATGAAACACATAGAACTTTTCCTACCAATTTGTTTTGCTTTCTTTCATGCTCAAAACTTCACTGAAAATATCCAGCTGAATTTAGTAATCTATTTTTTAAGGCAAGGATAATTGGAGGTGGAGTACAGGGTAAGACCCACAGTACTACTATATGGTTATGGTTTGAAAAATGATAAGCCCAGATAGGATTCAAGAGAAAAAATTAAACTTGGCAAATGAAGGTCAAGTTCTTCTTTGTCTCTTACATATACATTGAGATCAGTAGAACTGAACAGATGCTTTCTTTCTCCCTATAATTTTGGACATTGAGGAAATTGTATATGTTGCCTAAGAAAATGATTGGTTTTTCTAAATATGTGCTTCATAAACATATTTATTTATATAGAATTTGTATATTTTATATGTACATAATACATATAATTTTAGTTTCACAAAGTTGAAACAAGCTAGGCAGCATTGAATTAAGAAAGAAAAAAAGAAAAGAAAACCATATTTATCCAGTCATCAAATAATAAGTAGACACACAAGCATCACTTAAAGAAAAGGGTAGATGAGAGATCTGAAGAAACTATGCCTGATGTTTAAAAAATATCTCCCACTTATGGCTACTTATTAACAAGCAGCACTCCTGATTGCTTGACCAGAACATAACCTCTTTGTTTCCTGTCTAATGCAAAGAGAAAATCCTGGAGAAATTACCTCCTTGATGAGCAGTTTCCAAATAGGTGTGATTTCAACATCAATAGTATTAGGCCCACATATTAGCCTCCTACAGGGAGAAATCACAGATCGTCCAGTCACTAATAAGGAAAAGGAAGCTCATTCCCTGCCCATTCAGAAAAGGCCTATTTTATGACCCCTTTCTCACTTCTGGCATCAACATAAGCCTATCTTATTCTGTAACTCTCCCACCCAGCTCAAAATAGCAGAAGGCTCCCAAGTGCAAAAATAATAAACATAATCATCTTGCTTCTATTGAACTAGACTCTCCCCAACGTCTAAATATTTCCATAAGTGGCAATTTGGGTATTTCCTAACACCCATTATCTCGTTCAAGTTAGTTTCAGGATTAGCATCTTTCAACTCTGTCTCTTCCCATGAAAGTAGAAGAGGGAGATCACTAAGACAGAATAGTTTTAGTGGTAAGGAAATGCTTTCCTTATTTTATTCCTCTTAGTCAAAAGTTCCTGAGATTTTGTATCATGTTTTAATGTGAGTAGGAAGGTCCTGGACTCTCAAAAATAGCTTGACACAAAATTCTGCATTCTCCAGTTGAAGACCCTGAGATGCACTTCTTTGATCATGCAGAGCAATGGAACTTCCTGAGTTATTTTGCTGTTGAAAACACTAACTACTCTCTCTGTGCCTTCCATATAGACACTGGGATTAAATAGCTTTGCTGAATGTATTACAGTAGTGCTCCTCAAACTTTAATATAAACACATATAATTTGTATGATCTCATTAAAATGCAGATTCTTGTTCAATAGTAGCAAGATGTGTTCTGAGACTCTGCATCTCTAACAAACTCCCAGGTGATGTTGATGCTGCAAGGCTTTAGGTATCTTGAAAGTACTAGAAAAGGGGCAGGAGGCAGTGTAAGATACATAGAAATTTAGAACCAGTGAGACCTTTATAGAATCCTTCTTCCACTTTCATCCTTCGGAAACTAGAGCCCAGAGAGAAAATACTTGCTCAAAGCCACAGACTCTTGACATTTCAGTGCCCTTCCTAAACCTTGCTTCTCTGCCTAGTAATTGATTTGGAGCAGCAGAGCTACACATCTTGCATGTCATTTTTCTGATGCTTCATAATTGCTGTGTAATTGTACTATCATGATATTATATGTATTTCCTGATTACAATCAAAATAGGCTCAACTCTATTATTTTTGTAACCTTGAGAAGCATTATGTAGAACAGAAAAGAGTGCTAAACCTACAGTTGAAAGTATGGACTCAGTTTTTTCTCTCTCTCTTCCCATCTGTGTGACCTCCTTTGGGACATCAAAACCTCTCTGGGCCTCAGATTTCATATCTATTATGTGGGGATGATGATGAGGTCTGTTCTCCCTCACACGGTTGCTCTGAAGATGCATGAGATAAGGTATGTGAAAGCATTTAATTTAATAATGCTAAATAGAGCATTGCAGATTTTTCTGATATTAATCAATTAGGGTAACTACTTACTGAGCTCTTTTTTTTTTTTTTTTACTAACTGTTCTTTTGAGCTAAAATAGACAATAATATGCATGATACCTAATCTCCTGTTCTTCTCTTGTTAGACCTGATCCAAATTTTAGATGTATCTTGGCAGAACTGAGCCAGTCTTCCAACGAGCTAAAATAATAATGAGAAGGATGCATTTAGCAATAACATTTTTGAGATAACATTTTTCTTCTTTCAATGCACTTGCCAAAACAACTTACCCAACTTTTTGGAACTGTCCTTCTAAGTTATTCCAAACGTATCTCATTTTCTGCACCTTTATGCATCTCACCTGCAAGAAAAATGTATTAAGAAAATCTCCAGTTTGTAGATTGGGTGAATATGCAACAATTCAGTGTCTAAAGAAGCATTTATAAAGAAGCAAAGATAGAACTTAAATACTTAGAACTAAGATTTTCTTTTCTAAAACTTATCCTATTCTTTCCTGCTCCACAAATGTCATTTTTATTAGAAATCATCAATCAACATGTATCACAGGCCTACTATACAGATAAATATATGAATAACAAAATCTCAATCTTTACATTCCATTACCTTATATCCTAATAAGGAAACAAAATACATTTCCCAAAAGAAAACTATGCCATATAGTCTAGTATGTGTATGTCAAAGAAATGAAAATATTTTAAGTTTAAAAATATTCTTAAAATGTTGTAGAAATATAGAGAGGGCAGATGACAGAGGGCCCATGGAAGAGATGACATCTGAACTGCAGCAGTGAAGGGTTGGAAAGATTTTGCTCAGATGAGAAGTGAAGAGAGAATTTCAAAGAAATTGTGCACAAATAGTTGAGTGGGAGGAGGCAAGAAGGTAGCACTATTCAACTGCAGAATAAAGACTACATTAAGAGCAGCCTTCAAGGCTAGGATGAGGTATCTGGAACCTTCTCTCACAGGCAATAGATTTGTGCAGTAACCTAAAGAAGTGGCACTAAAGAAGATTAGGCTGGCAGCAGATACTAAAGGGGAAAGAGGAAGTTATTGAAAGAAAATATGCTCCAGAAAATGAGGCTTTGAGGGTGTTGGTAATGGAAAAAAAGGAGGATTAATGCTTATCACTATTGTTCTTTCATACTTTAGATTTGTGTAAGAAACTTTAGGTTTGAATCTGAATTCCCATGAACTGGTGAGCTCGCCAATCACAGAGAGAAAACAGTGGAACTTCCATATTGATGTGAAGCCATATGATTGATATGATGTGGTTATAACCTCAGGTTCCTTGTTTGAAGCTTCTGAGGAACTTGAAAAATTGCTGTTGTCTGGGTCCCATAACAAGAGATTCTAATTTAGTTTGTCTGCAGTGTACCTGGGGCAGGTAATTCCAACGTACAGCCAAGGTTGAAGAACAGTATTCAAGACTTTCTTTTGTGGCAACTCTGATATTTGTGTCCTTGAGAACTTCTACTAAATTTCCCTAAGTTCTTTTTCAGTTTCTTTCTCTAAATTCTGTATGTATGTATGGATTCCATTTTCTTCTAACAATTTCTGAGGTGATTCTTCAGAGTAGTTAAAGACTGAAATGATCATATAGCTGGTACATAATAATTGCTCAAAACATTTTTTTTATTAAATAAGCAAATGAATGCTTTGTTAAACCACATCTCAACTAGAACTAGAGTTTAAGTCTCTAAGGTCTAAGACCTAGGTTACCTCACATGAATGGTAATCCTACTCAATAAGTACAAACACACACATATTTGATAGTTACCAAGAGTGTTAGATGCCATATTTTTAAATTTTACAGAATGAAATGTACTTCAATGAGATTGGTTGCAAAATGAATTATTTCAGAACATACCCTATTGTCATTGGGGATGATACTTTTCGCATACACTGCAAATTGAAAGGGAAAAAGAGTATTTGAAAAGTGATCAGCCTGAGGCATGTTAGCTACCATGGTCCATGTTGGACCCTCAGGTTTCTTGCCTCATAACTTGGTTTCCTTTTTGGTATTCCCTGCAGTTTTGAAATAGTGTTACTAATTATGGCTACTATTTCTGAGAATTTAGAGCTTATCATCCTGTGATAAGGCAGACACTAATTTCATTTTTGCTTTGTACCTAATGTTCACTGTGATTATGTCACTCACAAGGCTTGAATCTTAGCTCCAGCGCACATGGTTTCAAAACTCAGTCTTGTAAAGGATAGAAGACTCAAGTTAGTCGCAAAAGAAAATCTAAAAATCCCTTAAGTTTGGGGTTCAAGATGTATAGATTAAGAGTTGCCTACTTTTTAAATTCCATATATTTGAAAATTGTGTTAGAAAAATGTTAAAGGACACACTGGTGGAATGTGAGGTCCCCTGCCTCAGTTAGAGAACCTGCACCAAGAGGCTGTGAAGCCACAGACTGAGAAATTTATAAAACATAATAGACACAAAACTTCTACAGATGAAGGCAGCAACAATGAGGAACACAGGTTCCTGGTGAGTTTCACCTCAAGTGAGAAAACAGATTCCATTTTCTTCTGACAATTTCTGAAGTCACTCCTCAGAGAGTGAGAAGAACTACTCCACTGTAGACCTTGTAAGCGCCTCTGAGATTCCCCCTAGCAGGAAGCACCTCTGCCTAGAGTTTATCTGCTTCCGCCATCACCCTCAGAGCTTCTGGAAACTAGTAATCGATGTCAAGTATAACATTTGCAAGGCGTAAATTTATTTGCCCATTTCCTGAAACTTCAAACTAGAAAACAGTAGCTAGGAGATCAAGTATCTATTGTGGGGTGAATTTCACTTTTCTGCTCAGTAATCTGGAAAATGTCCTCTTCCCACAATTCTCACTCTTCATTTCTTGTTGGAATATGTAACAGTGTACCCCTATCAGGTGAAGTACTGGATTTCAGTTTTACCTGCAATCCTACAAAATGGTCCTTATAGTCTCCTCTTAACCTGCATTTGAAAACCTGACATAGTTCTTTACTGCAGTCTCCACATACCCCATTAAAGTTCCCATCGTGTCATCATGGCTGAGCCCATGACATTTCCTCTGACTTTAGTGAAAGTTTTAAACCTTCCTAAGAATATAGTCTGTTGTAATTCAGAGATCAACTTAATATCCATTTTCACATTTAGGCTCACAGCCCTGAGAAACAGGCAGAGAAGGGATTTTGACTCTTATTTTATAAATAAGAAACTCAAGCCTCAGGGAGGCAGTAACCAGCCAAACTCCCCCGTGCTAAGCTGATAAATGAAGACTTCATGCTGGCGTATCTAAACTTCATTTCAAGACCTCTGTCCTTCCTCACATTGTTTGTTTATTTGAGAATGTCTTCATTGTCTTTTTCCTTATTTATTAATACAACTAAACAGGCTAGAATTTCAGGCAACAAAGCTCTGAGGCCCAGGACTTCTCCAGGTGAATGGCCACCTGAGGTGAGGCAATCTGTCCCTGGAGGGTGCCTGACCTCTTGGTTTTGTTTATTTTGGCAGTCAACACAACTGAGTGGGAACAATTGGCAACAGAGAAACTCCTCAGTAATTGATTTTTTATTATTTAAAAAAATTACACTTGAGCTCATAAAACTAATTTAAACAGCTAAGTGTATAGAAATATAAAAGATTCTTACAAAATGCATTTTAAATATGAATGTTAGCTAGTCACAACTAAAGCAAAAAGGGAGTAACCCATGTCCATTTGAATGACACAATTAAAAATAAGGTCATTTTGCAGATATGAGCAAACTCCATGGAATACTCGTGGATGATTACCTTTACTGTAAGATTAACTCTATTATACACATTATCAAACAGGGACCAATGCTTTTCATAGCTGACATGTGTTGAGCACCCACTATGTACCCGGCATTATATTGATCTTTGTTAAATTTTATCAATTAATATTAGAGATAGGCATCATTACTCTTTTATAGTTAGGAAACCTGAGGTTCAACAGAGTTAAGAAATTTATACAAGATTGCACTGCTTAGAAGCTGAAGCTCAGATTTGAACTGAGCTCTGTGTGGTTTCAGGTGCACATCCTTTACAAGGTCCTATCCTGTTGATTGAGAATTAGTACAGTGATGGACAAGTTTAACCTTATATATGGGAAGGGGGAAGGTTAAATTTCTCTGGCATCAGCCATAGCCATAACTTTACTTACCTTTAGGTCTGGCTTTCTGATGGCTCTATTTATGATAAACTCCTCATCTGTAATGAGAGGGTGATCAGGGGTAAGACCAAATGTGCTGCTTAATGTTGACAGGTGGATCCACACTACCTTTTTCGAAGAGTAAGTTTGGAATTCATCCTGCGGAAACAGACATCAAAACCCCGGTGATGTTAAGAGAATCCCTCAGGCTAAAATTCAATCTGAAAAACATCGTTTTAATATAATTCTGTAAGTTTATGGAGTTAGTGAATATTTTTGACAAAATGATATGCCTTTGAAAGACGGCAGGCATAGAATTAGGAGGGGAGAAAGGTTTGCCATCTTTTTAAAAATATTTTTTTTTAGTTGTAGTTAGACACAATACCTTTATTTTATCTATTCATATGTGGTGCTGAGGATGGAACCTAAGACCCCGAATATGCTAGGCAGGTGCTCTACCGCTGAGTCACAACCCCAGCCCAGGGTTGCCATCTTATTAAGGGATCTGTAGTCGGGAGGCACATGCTCAGCTAAGGGCTACTTTCCTCCACTGTCTTTCTGTCCACAGGGCTTCAGCCACATGCAGAATTTCACAGGAAGAAAAACAAGTATTCCATAGGTTTCTGTGGATCTCTGAAGGTGAGCAAACCAAATCAATTAAATCATCCCCATCTTTCTAGGCTTGTCTGAAAGTCTACCTCTTTCAGGAGGGTCTCTTGATTACAATCCCACCGGGAGGAAAGAAAAAAGTCACTATGCCAACTCCAAAAGATTTTAACCATCCCTCTCTTGTGCTCCTAATTATTTTCTGCTTATATTCTCTATAGTCCTTCCAGATAACCTTGAAAGTGGAACCATGTTTTATTGTTTTTTATCTCCCCCTCAGTGTGGAGCCCAGAGACCAGCTTCATGAGAGTAAAATGAACAGATAAAAAAGACTGGCTGCCTGAATGAACGTGCCCAGAGGTAACTGTGGAGATGTTAGCACAGCCAGGATCCAAGGTCCCCCCACCTCTTTTATTTTTCAAATGTTGAACATTTATTTCAGCTAATTGGCGAGGGGATAGGACAGTGCTCGCATGGCCTGCATGTTGGTCACAATGACAACAAAGCTTAATCCAGCCCAGGATATTCAGGTGAAAGTGTAAGTCATGAAAACATGTTTATATTTGTGTAAGTTTGTATAAAAGTGATGCTGAACAATTATATAAGCTTTAAAAACAATAGAGCCACCTAATGCCATTTAACTGTGACTCTCACTGCTAAATGAAAGGTGCCTCTTTAAGATTTTTATACAACTTCTGATAACTAGGTAGTGCCCAGCAAAGAAAGGAAGCTGCTGTAAAGTTTGCAGCACTTCTAATTGGAAGGAAGCAATAGGGAAGCAAAATAAAGTCGGCTTGAACAAGCACCCCAGAAGGAACATGCATGCTTCAAACAAGGACTTTACACCACACTGTGAAGAGAGCAATGTTTCTGTAAGAAAACTGTCATGAACAACTGGTAAATTAACATTTGTGCTTCATTTGGGGGCATCAAAAACAATCCAACTGAGTAACCAAATGATTATGACCCATACATATACACACAAAATCATCTCAGAGGTCAAATGTACCTTGGCCTTAAAAATTATGTGCTATTATGAAGCAATCTCTGTTGCTTGTCCCATTCATTCCAAATGCTTCGATACTACTTTTAAATGACATCATTCCAATTTAATCATCTAAAATAACCTATATTTCCTTTATTTTAAGGTATGTAGTGTCCAATAGGGTTCTTTGGTATAAATTTGTTTCTGTGTAAATTTCAACAATTAAATTTTCATTCATTCGATATGTGACATGTCAATTCCCTTTATTTTTATCATATATACTGAAATGCTGCACTCATCTTTTGTTTCATTGAACCAGGCTTCACATTCTAATTTAATCTTCCTTTGTCAAATACAGTAATTAATATATGTATACTGCCAAATTGTTTGATAGATATTGCTTGTATACAGATGTGTCATTTTCATATATGCACCTAATCAGTTATGATAAATAGAAATAGACCTATAAATTTAAGAAATCCAAGAAAGGTACTTTATGCATATTTCTAATCCATATTTAAGTCCCTTATTATTCAATTGACCAAAGTTCCCTTTTTTAAAAAAAAATGTATGCCTGAATTAATCAGCTTAGCAAAACAGTCATACTGACAAGACATCATCTTACACTGTTAGCTAACATGGACATGAAGGCAGTGACCATCTATAGTGTGTAAAATGCCATAAGAAGTCATCAACAAAGGAGGAGAGTTATGTCGCTCCAATTTCTTCAAGAACACTGTGTGGGGTCTCAGTTTCCTAAAATACGGAACGCTTCATGAATTTGCATGTTATCCTTGCACAGGGGCCATGTTAATCTTCTCTGTATCATTCCAATTTTAGTATATATATATGCTGCTGAAGTGAGCACAAGAAGGTCCCTTCTTGTAGGACCCTAATTGAAACCATTTCCCTTTGCAGTTCACTGGTGACTTCATCACAGACTAAAGCTAGAAGGAAGAGCACCAGATTAACAAACACCACAATGGTCCCTTGGAGACTAATGTGATAATGACAGTAGTTATTATCTGAATGGGTAAAGGCTAAACATAAAACCCACTGATAAACCTTAGGAGCTCAGGGAGATAACAAAGGAAATCAAGCCCAGGAAATCAATGCCTGGGAATGTAGATCACAGTTGGGAATTATTTCGGTGACATACTCAGGTTTTCCTTGAAGACTATTTGATCTGAGTATTAAAAGTAGGGAGGAGATAGCAAAATGGTTGTCCTAAATCTCCTCGATTCATCTTCCTCAAGAGTGGTCCTCCTCTGTACCTTTGCCCCTGCTCCTTCTCAGCTTGGAATACATTCCTTCTTTCCCTTCCTGAGTGCTGACATGGCCACCTCCTGGACAGCCTTTGGGGTTCAGCCCAAAGACCTCCCTAATCTCCCTCAGCCATCCCTCCTCTACACCACTGGTGTAACTTGAGATTCTTAGCAGTCTACCTTTTGTCCACTTTGTCACTTGTCTTGGGCTGTAGGTAGGGACTGTGTCTGACACTTGTCTGTGCTCCAGCCAGGTCTAGCACAGATTCTGAGAGGCAGAGAGAAAGATGGCAATCAGGCTGGGAGGTAGAGATGGACAGAGAGATGGGTTGGCGGGAGCAAAGCAAAGGAACAGGGGAGGGAAGAGAAGAGGAGGGAAAACTAACTAGAAATTTGAAAGTTAATGTATTAATTTATGAAAAACTAATGAAATGGGTTATGACCCTGTGTGAGAGGAAAGATGACTAAATCAAACCAAATAAAATTCACATAGATTTATTTTCAGAGCCTAAGAGTGACTGCAGAGAGCTAACTTTCCAATAACTGAGCCACTAAACTGGTAGACACTTTTAGGTATGGTAGAGTAAGCAGCCAACTCTCTAGAATATGCTTTGACATAGTTTGTATTACATAGCTCTGCCTTTGACCCTATCAAAGGGGCTTTGCTATGAGAAGAACTTCAAGTTTCTAATGACAGCAGTAATAAATATATTTATCACTCACTACATTATAGGCACAGATTTCATTTAATGCCCAAAAGCCCTATGAGATAATTACCTCAATTATCCTTCCACTTTATAGGTGAGTAAATTAAGATGCTTGGCAAGTATTAGAGCAGGAATTTAACCATCCACCACACCCCTGCTGGGCTCCTCCATAGTCAACCCCCTCCTCCATTCTAAATTTTGCTAAAAAAAAAAAAAAATTGAGTTGTCACTTTATATATTCAACCTGAACTGAGACTTCCAAAGAATAAAGTCTCAACTAAAAAACTTGATAAGAAAGCACATAATTTGTTGGTAGATGAGAATACAAATTATAATAGATCCATAAAGACTAAAGACCTGTAGTTACCAAGTGAGGACAAATGAGAAGACAGCTACTCTTGATCCTCTTATGTGAATTAAAATACTATCAATGACGACATTTCATATGATTACTTAGCAGTTTCTGTGAACTTTTTGTATCTGCTATCTTATTTTAGACTCACAGTTCCCCAAAGCCCATATCTCTATTTTGCAGATGAGAAATCATGAGCAGAGCTAAGAATTATTGGATGACCATGACCAGGGATAAGAATTATTTGATCCAGTCTGATATTGGTAGTTGGGTAAAACTGGGACCTGATTCCAGGTTTTCCCACTCCAAATCTTGACTCCTTCCTCTTTATTTCAACAGGTTGTTCCATGGTGTTTGTGACTTGTGTGTGGGAAATCACCTTGAATTCTGTACTACGTAACAAAACACATTCATTTTCTCATAATTTCTGCTCCCTTGGAAGCACAGAATCTGATTCACAAAGTCAAGCTCTGCAACAACCAGCAGCCTTCCATACTGTATGCCTAAAAAGGGAAAAGCAAAGTATACAATTGAAACTCCCAAGTTCCCCAAGTCCAATGTTTATCCAATGCACCAAATGCACACCTTAGTCTTGATACTTGTAAGTATCAAACACTGAAATTCTTCTATATGTCTATATTTATCATAACTTGTGATATCATTAAACCAAATATGATCAGTTATATTTGTGTTTAAGTTCATTTCCTGTTGTTGCCTTTACCTCTTGCCCAATAACTCTGTATAACAGAAAGTAGAATTCTACAGGCAAAGTAAAAGTTACAACAGTTAAGCAATCATTTTTCTTAGAGTAGGGTAGTGACTTCTCTCTTGTTAACTATTCTTTTGAGGACTCTTGTCAAATAGCCCAGCTTTTTTTAGGAGAAAAAGAAAAGCAAAGGAATGGAAAAAAAGTGTTCCAATATGAAATGGTCAACTGGGGTCACATCTCCAACTTCTCTCAGTTTTTGGTTTGATATTATATATTATGGAAAGACCACAGGCTGGAGACCTGAGCCCAGATCTCAGCTTGTCACTGCCTTGCAGCTCTCTGAACCTAATCTCTTTTACCCAGGAGAGTAGTAATAATAATGTCACATTTCATGAATGTTTGAAGTATTAAATGAAGAAATATATAATACCTTTTTAATTAAATAATTGGCTTATAATGTAAATAATATCAATTGTTTGCCTAGCAAATCTGGACTCACTCAAGTCTCCCTGAGCAGAACGTACCTCCCCTTTAT